AAGAGTGGGGGAATTCAGGGCTAAGGTTTTTGAGTACTTTTCTGGTGGAAAGACCTAAATAACAGTGTCAGAAAATGCAGTTTCTGCCAAACACAAGTTCAAATTCTGATTTTTTGTTCATTGCCAAAAAGCTAGGCTCACTTTGGCTACAACTATTTTTTATGTGTACATGCTGATAATTAGAACATCTTTCTAGAGAATGGGAAGTACCTTTCCCATTCATAGATGTGTGAAGTACTTAACCTTGAGGACAAGTAAAAGTTAAAGTAAATGGCTTTATCTTTGATGTTCTGGATCTAATATGAAAAAACTCATAAGTATGCAACTGAGTGGCTAAGAAAAAGATGTTAAATACTCAGAAAATATATATGTTTAACATTTTAAAAATTTTCAATATTGTTTTAAAAATAATGAATGCACACCTTCCTTAGTAAGCTGTTTCTGGACAGAAAAGATATAAATTCTGTATTTTTCAAATAAGAATTACTTTCTTGGTAAAACAACCAGAGGGAATACAATAAACCTGAAATGATCACCACTGAATTGAGGTCCAAAGTTCTCCTCTCAGATAGAAGTCCAATTTCCACCCCCACCCCAGCCCAAAAGACTGTGACTTCCAGCATATCTATACCCACTGCTGTCCCTGTCTGGGTGTGAAGGAGAGGGATGCTAAATACCAGTGCATGCAGAGAGTGCTGTGTCTACCCTGCTCCCTTTCAGTGGCCAGCCAGGGGGTTGCCTTTTGCCTTTCTGTGCCTGCCCTGCCTTGGCTGAAGGGAAAAGTCTTCTGGAGCATGAGGGCATGACCCAATGGGGAGGAAGCCTGCAGCAAAGGCAGATATTAGCAGATGCCTGAAAGAAGCAGAAAATGACAGAGCCAAGTCTTTGAAGCAAGAAATTCTTTCTTAGTGACCCAGAGACACCAAGGGTGAGGTTGTGCAAGACAGCTGGGTCAATCAGACAGCTTGCTGCCACCAAAAGTGAGTGTTTTGTGCTGTTTCAGAAAGCTGGGGGTGTCTAACAAACAGAAGAGCTTATGCAAAAAAAAGGAGCAGACAACTGCAGTCAGAAGCGGGAAGTAAGCCTAGCCTTTGGGGCAGCCATGAGCTCAGATTTCGCAGGAATATTCAGCCTGTGTGGGGCCTGCTGCAACCCAAAATGCCACAAAATGTTGCTGGACTGAGACAAAGAATGTGAGGAGAAAGGTCTGTTATATTTTTATGTTCTCACTTGGAAGAAACTGAGTTTCTGTATTTTAAACATTAATTGTCTGAGTTTAGCTAAATGTAAATGTAAAGTGTTTATAAATTTACAGTCCTCTCAGTGCTTATGGTCTGTCCACTGTAAAAAAAAGGTCTAGTTAGGATCACCTCTAAGCTTTGGACAACTGAAGATCCTTTCAGTTAGTTAAGGTATCCTAGTCTGGATTACTTGGGATAAAAGAGGCCAGGGAGCAGCTCTGCAAGGAAATTTGAGGAACATTTGTCTTTGGCAGGGATGAGGGAAGGCAACAGTAGCCTATGGAGCCACGACTGAAAAAGAATGTGTGTCCTGAGTCTTTGGAAATGGCACTTTATCACTTCACATTCAGAAATGTATAATCACCCATTTAAAGCCTACATACAGTCTCAGAAAAGACATTTTACACAAGAAATTAAAAACTAAGTTGTATGAAAATGCTATATTAGTTTCAGATCAAATCAAAAAGATTTAGCCTTACTTTGAAAAGGCACAACTGGGGCAAGACATGAGACTGAATTATCTTCCGAAAGATAATTTCTTCATTATCTTTAACAGGACCAGAAACAAATACAAAGTAAGCATTTTACTAGAAAAAGATAGTTTGATGAACTATAGATGAAACTAAATGAAACAAAGGAAAAATATTTAAAACTGCGTTCCTTAGGAAGGGACTTTCATTACAGACAAGGTTTCCAGCCTGTACACCCATAAGCATACATAGATTGAGAGGTCAGAAGAAGGAAATCCTTTAAATGGTGCAACATCAGATGAGAAACTATAAGATTTCACAAATCAGTAAAGACTGATGATGGTATTTCTAGAAGTAAATCCAAAACAACCTGGAATGAAAACTTGTGAAAGGGAAATAAAACTGATCAATTTCTGAAAATATTTTTTTTTTTTAAATTGGAGGAATCAGTGAAAAGTAACAGTCTTCATAGACTAAAATGATTTCTGTCCATCCAAAGCTTTCATTAGTTCTCAGAAGAGTTTCTGTACAACCATTACCTTGTCTACTAATAACCAAATCCAGTTTCAGCCTTTTAATCATCAAGAGTCTGAGCTCATCTCCTCAAGTCATAGTGCAATAATTTCTGTGAAAAATGTTGTTTGGAAGCTAAAAGTCCTTTCCCTCTGTAGACCTGAAAGTTTGGCTGCACCCCTCTCAGCTTACCCATAATTCACCACCACATCATCTAATTAAGTGAGATGAATCTAAAGCATATTATATTTAAAATAAATCACATAAAGCATTTTCTAACACAGTTTTTTAAAGATTGGTTGGAAATTTGAGATGCTACAACTCAGACATCAAATTACCACTAAATTACCTATGATATTTACATATGACAATTTTATACCTTTTCTGTCTGAGAAAAAAAGAGAATTCAAGTGGAGCATTTAAGGAGATGTAATCCGGATAAAATATCAACTCCTTTTTTTTTCCCCTCAAATGGCCTGTTGTTTCTCTAAGTGATTTGGAGAAAATGTGAAGGCAACCAGGAAACCCAAATGCTGGGACTCAAAGGTATGGGGAGAGGAAAAGGGTCCAAGAGTCTGGGTGGCAGGTGAGCCTGTAGCTCCACCCAGCACCAAGAAATTACCTTCATCCTGCAATGAAGAAAGCCTATGGAAGCACCCTCTGACTTCCTACAGGGAGCAACCCCTGCTCCTGTTCCTCCACAGAAATCTGAATTCATCATGGGCATTGTTGCTGTGTTATGTCCCGCCACACAATTCCGTACTGCAGCAATGGACACTTCATCAAGCAAGAAAGACCCACCCATTTCAGGAAATCTGGTGAGAATCACATCATCACTTGTAGTTTACAAGAACTTCAGAGTTTCCAAAGTTTCCGGATTGCTAAGGGCCCTTAGGCTGCAAAAAATCTTTGCAGAAGAAAAAACCAAACCAACGGACCTTAAGATGTTACCTCTTTATCTTAATAAATGCCTTTTGAATATTTCAGGGGTTTTTTTTTCCCATTTCTGATAAGGCTTGCCCCCTGCTTTAACTCCTTGTTCAACTCCTTGCAGACATTGAGATTACAGAGTGTTTTCTGTTGTCTAGATAGCTTTCCCTATCACCATATAGTAAAACTTGCTGTACTAAGTAACAGGTAAACATGTTGATAGTTGCAAAAATTATGGGTCATGGTCACTTGCCTCTTTTAATCCATGGAAGCCCAGAATAAGACAAAGTTCTACTCTTCTGGCAATGGAAACCTACAATCCCAGAATCATCAGGTTTAAACAAACATACCTGTCCACGCAGAGCTTTTTTACATGTGCAGCTCTTGCACACACATTTAGAAAATCTGCCTGGAAAGCAGGCTTTGAGTGACCCTTCAGGGCTGAATCTGCATCACTTCCCATTATCCCTGTCACACAAGGGATGCAGGGCATGGCAGCCAAAGCCCATCCCACTGTCCAGCCAGGTGCACAGCAGCCAGGAGCACTTGGGCAGCCCCAGCCCAGGCATCGGACACTCTCCTGGGGAAGGTGATGGGCTGAGGACTGGCCAGGATGTAGGTCTGTGCATGGGTCCAGCTTGGCAGGGCCAGTGGCCAGGCAGGGCAGACTCTGGGGAGCTGAAGCCTGACCCTGCTGCACCATCACTGGAGCAGGGCCTGAGAGCCTGGAGCAGGGCTTGGCACGGAGCCCTGGGCCATGGGCAGGGTAGGGGTAGTCCCGAGGAGCTGTGCAGCACTTTGACAGGGACTTAAGAATTTCCCACTTTTGTTAATTACATTTGTGGTTTCTGGTTGCTCAGTACTTAATCTTAGTTCAGTGTAAGAGTCCTGCTGGTAAATCTACCTAGGAATATGGCAGAGGAATCCCTCTTCCATGGAACCAAATTCCATTTGCCAGACAGACATCTCCTTGGCTTTTGTGGTTTCCCATGAGACTGGTTGTGACAAGGGTGATGAGACAAGGTTGTGACATTCTGCATAGATGTAGCAAGGACATCGACATTAGCAAGGAAGGTGTGGAAAACATACCTATGTAGCATAAGTGCATATATTGTCAAATAAATGCCACTCTCATAGTTTGCTAGTTTAGCTTAGGGTCACAAGGAGCTTCTTTCCTTCAGTCCTCCCACTTGAATGTTGTGGTTCTTCCTACTTGCCACTTACCTTCCTAGAGTCCAATAGGAGTAAAATGCTCCAAAAAACATATAGCTGTTTGTTACTTAAGAGTTCACTGCTCTTTGATCTTTAGAAATTCCACCCTTTGCCATACCAATGTGTGAAGTTTGCCAAAGTGTCAAAGGCCTTTCTGACCTGCCAACACCATGGCAGCTATGATGGATCTAAACCCAGACTAATATATTCTACCTATTCTATAGACATTTGGTGGTTCAGACCCACACCATATATCCATGTCAAGTCCACTCTGGGCCAGAGGAGAAGTTCTGTGTTGATCCCTCTCTCTCACCAACAAGACCTGCAGGGGTCTCATTCATCAAGAAGCAGAGACAGGGATGCCACCAGACTGCTGCCATGATGTCTGTGCACCATCTCCCTCCTGAAAGGATGCCAGGCATTCACTTGAGGTATACACACATTTTATTTGGCTACATCAGTCAAAGCACAAGGTCTAGACACCTAAGAATTATCTACCAAATTCTTGGAGGTACCAGGTAGCTGTCAGAGGAGTTTCTCTCTTCTCTCATGGGAATGAAAAATGGGGACTATCCACCTTAGGAGAATCACCTTTGGAACATGACTTTCTGTCATGCTATTCATCTGCTTATTTTCAGGCCTTGCAGTACACATCATATTTTAACTTTGCTGCCATCTTTGTTCCTCCTAGGGAATCTTGAAATTTCTGGTCCATTTCTTCATTCTGAGCCTTAGAGAAGACGTCTCTCCAGTTTCCAACAACCCCTGTGTATGAGTACCAAAAACTGAAGGGAGATGCTCCTGAGAGAAAATAATATCTAGCCAGCAGTGGAGCAGAGTCATTGACTACACAAGGCAGGAAGGACCACATTAAATGCCCTGAGAGGTCTTATTGCCTAGGAGAGGAAAGGTATCAAAGAACAGAAGCAAAGGCTGTAGCCAGATAACAGGGAGCATTTCTGGTTAGCTGACTGCAAGTGCTCCCTCCCCAGAAGGGGATTTCCAAGGTGACCTCATGAAGCTTTTACACAGAAAAAGGGGAATCTGGTTTTGTCACAGGGGAAAGCTCATTCATTAATTATTTCCTCTGAAGGGAGAAATTTTTTTGTGGTAGATGGTATAGAGGAGATTGGCTTAATCCCTCTTCCTCCAAGGAGTGATGAAAGAAATGGATTTTAAAAAGCCCATGCTTGCAGTACTCAGAAACCAAAGACTCTTGAGGTTGTGGGGAGCAGGAAGGCTGCCAGAGGTCTAACACAGGCCTGTGAGAGACCATCTCTGGCACCACCACTGACATGTCCATTGAGAGGAGACACATAAAGCTCTTGCTGAGTGGGTAACAGGAAGATGCCAGGTGCCTCACCTTGGCACCTCACTTACCTAACTAAGCAGGGCCATTACAGAAAAAGACAGCAACACAAAAGCAGTGACTGAGGACATTAAGACTGGCACTCTGATAAAGTTTCTCACAAACAGCCCCCAAATCCTGTCAACAGCAGAAGCTTTCTGTACAGGTGGCACCACAGGAGAGAACTCACACAGACAGTCCAATGAGTTAATGGCTAAGTAAAGTAACATACTCAAAACTCCTTCTAGAGTTCTCCTTCAGAAGGTCTCCAATTGCAGAGACTTACCTTTCTGGAAGAGGACGTCCCCAAACTTTCCATGGGTTTCACTGGATTTCTCTTTCATAGCTTTGAAAGTGGTCTTCTTGGCAATTCTGGAAAAATCTTCCTCACACAGGGAAAATCCAAAGAAGGAAGCGATCTTTTTCATCCCCAGTATTGGGTCCTGTCCAAAGGAACATAGCACAGAGGTGAAACCAAGAGATTTGACACTATGGCTGTGGCATGGAGCCAGTGCCCTGTGGGAAGCCCAGCAGGGGAAGCTGCCTCCCACGATGTCACCAAGGAATTCCAAGAGCTCTAACAGAAAACTTCTCAGACCAGGAAACCTACACATTTTGGCCTCAGTTTCAAGGCCTTTTCTTCTTTCCCAAAATCTGTGCCTCTGCTAGATAAAACTCCTTCCACAAATAGGCAAGGCTATCCTCCTCCTAGCATCCATGGGTTTGCCCCAATCATAAATGAGTAACTCAGAAAGGCACATCCTTCTAAAGACAGACTTGCTCCAAGAGTTTCTAATTTCCCACACCCATACATATCAGGAGGGATGCACTACACAGTCATCAAGGAAGAGCTGGGTGGAATGTCACACCTCTTTGAGTTCCTCATAGCTTATTGTCATGATCCTCTCGTTGTCAATGTATTTGCTCCATTCCACCATGTGGTCAAAGTAGGATCCCCAGGCCACTGCAAACAAAGAGGCATAACTGTCTAGAGTACTCCTCAATACAGGCCCTTAACAAAATCAGAGGAGTCAGCCCAGACAGCTTTCTAAGTGTGGCTGTAGAATGGTGAAGAGGTGACCAGCTCAACATGTCTGTTCTTTCTTCTGAGGTCAGTGCTGCATGGCCCAGGTCTGTCCACTTGATATGGCAAACCACAATTGTGGGAATGGAAAAGTCAGGCTAAAGCTTTCTCATGATCTCTCCATTCTGAGAGATTGGTACTCTGTTTCTGCCACAACAGGGGCCTGTGTGTCTGCTCTGGAGTGCCTTGGTTAGGTATGTCACAGAAGGATTCCCATGCACAAGGCCCTGTGTACGCCACTCATGTTAGGAGAAATTCCAGAGGATGTAGGGCAAAGTACATTTTCCATTCATGAAGTCTGCAAAGTACTCATCCCAGGAGGCGAAGGACGGCGTCACTGACAGGTTGTTGCAGAAGTGGTAATAGGAGACAGCCGTGTCCTTGGGGTTCCGAACTAGCACAAGGATCTAGAGGAAGAAAATACATCTTTTGACTGACCAAAGTGCTGTCTTCTTGACATATCACATAGAGTCATTGAATTCCAGAATCATTTAGGTCATCAAGTCCAACCATTAACCAAACAGTACCAAGTCCATCACTAAACCATGTCCCTAAGTATCAGATCTACATTTTTTTAAAAATATCTTCAGGAACAGTGACTCAAACACTTCCCTGGCAACCAGTGCTTGGCAACCCTTTTTATGAAGAAATTTTTTCTCATGTCCAGATCCAAATCTCCCTCAGTGCAACTTGAGGCCATTTCCTTTTGGCCTGTCACTCATTACTCAGAGAAGAGACCAAGTTCCACCTCGCTGCAACCTCCCTTCAGGTGGCAAGGGGACCCCTGAGCCTCCTTTTCTCCAGGCTAAACAACCCCAGCTCCCTCAGCTGCTTCTCCTAAAACTTATGCTCCAAACCCTTACCAGCTCCAGTGCCTTTCTCTGGACACACTCCAGGACCTCAATGTCCTCCTTGTAGTGAGAGGCCCAAAACTGGACACAGTGCTCATGGTGTGTCACTTACCAGTGCCAAGTACATGGGGACAATCACTCCCCTGGTCCTGCTGACCATATTAATTGATCATATATCCTACCCATCATATATTCTGATCCACACCAGGATGCCACTGGCTTTCTTATCCACCCAGGCACAGTTCTGGCTCATGTTCAGCCACTGTCAACCAGCATCCCCACGTCCTTTTCCACTGGGCAGCTTTCTAGCCACTCTGCCCCCAGTCTTTAGTGTTGCACAGAGTTGTTGTGACCCCCATTTTGTAGGATAAATACATACCTTATTTAACCTCATTCAATTGGCCCATTGTCTGTTCAAATCCCTCTGTAGGGCCTCCTACCCTCCAGCAAATCAACACTCCCGCCCAACTTGGTGTTGTCTGCAAGCTTACTTGTCCACTAAAATGCACCAGACCATCCAATTCTGGTTTAATTCCTTTTCTTGAGTAAGAAAGCAGAGCTTTGGCATATCACTTTTTGCTAATCTAAGCTTCAGGCTGAAAACAAGAAGCTTTTCAGTGATTCCCTCAAGACAGTTCTGACCTAGTTCCAACCCAGACAAATGAGTTCATGATCTACTGAACAAAAGAGCCACAAACAGTCTCTAGATGTAGCCTAGCTTCTCTCTGCAGTAATTCCCATCTAAGATCATCTTAGCCACAGCCTGTGGTGGACTTTCCACAGGTACCCTGGTTTTGAAGGCAAGTTAAACCAGACAGAATTACTCCTTGCCTTGCTCAGGTTTCTACCACCAGCCTGGAAGCATCTTTCTGAAGGAGAGCTGAAAGGACAGTGATACTCAGCAACAAACCCACCAATAGTCAGCAAAGCTGCAGCTGGTAGAGGATCTTTGTTCACAGCCTTGGCACACTGAACTGTCACTTCAACCTTGGAAATGTGGCTGTGTGTTGACCAGCTCAGATGAAAATGTAGAAAAGACATCTTATACAGAGGAAAGCTAATTTAGGATAGAAAGATTTTGCAGTGTGATGCAAAGAGAATACTCACCTTAGCCTTGCTTTGGAAAATGGATGGAGGCAGGAGATCAGCTCTCAGATGGGTTACTATAATTCTTCTGGAAGGAAGCTGCTTCATCCTCTTTAAAGAAAGTGAGAAGCAATGTGACAAGACAGAAGTAGCTTATTCAACTTATATGAGTTGTGCCTGTTTAGTTATTGTAGGTTATAAGAAAAGGTGAGACCAAAGATGTATCTTATCACTTGGAAAACTCACAGGGATGCACTGGCGGTGTAGGCCTCTGCCAACCTCTGCCACCAAGCACCATTTCACATGACACAGGCCTAATAACATGACACCTAAGAAAAAGGTCTTACTAATTAAAGTTACTGCGTCTATGGCAGGAAGACCCTGTCTCCCATCGGAGGCCCTTGTGTTGGGACACCAGAAGCACTAGCACATGCTACTTCTGCAGACCATAGCTGTTGTTAAGGCTCTAGGTTCTCCATTACCTCTGAGATCAGCCATTGTCTTTTAGCTATTACTCCTTGTAGGAAGAGCAGGGACAGTACTTTCAGTTCCTGCTTACCTCATATATGCCAGGATCCCCAAATTCTAGACGCTGAAATGTCTCTAGCTTCTTTTCAGCATTTATTCTCTCTTTCATTTCCTCTTCTGTATATTTGGCATCTGCCAACTCCTTCACCATTTGTTCAAGCCAATTGGTTCCTGAAAGGATAAAGACACCAGTAGCACATCCATTACACTTCACTTTTTCATGTACACCTGGCTAATGGAAATCCTGTCAAATAGGTTTCAAGTGAATCAGTTTGGTTCAATGCTGTACTTTAATCTTTTAACAAGAGTGTGCGCTGATTTTCACAGCAATGGAATTAATTTTCCCCATAGTAGCTGGTATGGGGCTATGTGTTGAATTTGTGCTGAAAACAATGTTGGTAACACAGAGATGTTTTAGTCATTGCTGGCAGTAGTTGCACAGTGTCAGGGCCTCCTCTGATTCTCACACTGAGCTGCCAGAGAGTAGCTTGAAAGTGCACAAGAATATTAAAAGGGGACACAGATGGGACAGCTGACCCCAACTGATCCAAGGATTATTCTATCCCATATGGAGTCTTGCTCAGCAATAAAATGTGAGGGAAGAAGAAGGAAAGAGAGATGCTGAGAGCTAAGGCACTTTCTGTGCCTCTCATGTCACTGTCATGGGTGATGGAGCCCTGGACACAGCTGAACATTTGACTGGTGGAAGGATAGAATGAATTCCTTACTTTGCTTTGCTTGCACACATAGCTCTTGCTTCAGGTATTTAATTGTCTTTATTTCAGCCATGACTCCTCTCACTCTGTTTCCCTCCCCCATCCCATTGCAGGTGAAAGAGTGAGTGGCCCTGTGGGGCCACTGAGTTGAGCTGGGAGTTGCCAGCTGAGGGTAAATCACAGCCCTGGTGAATAATCAACCAGGGTGTGCCCAAGGTCAAAGGGGCAGAGCTGTTGAGCAGACACTGTGGAGTGCTACCCTGCTGGCTTCAGGGTCACACCTCATCCCTTGGCAGAAGCAGAAGCAGACCTCTATTGCTTTTTTCAACTCCTTTCAACTTCCCTACTTATTGGTTACCTCACACTACTGCCTGTGGCGATTTCTCAAGAGCTGTCTGGCTCCCAGCAGTGGGCCAACTGAGTCACCTCTTTTCTGTTTCTGTTTCCTTCCACAGTTCTGTCTTTCGGAACACACTGTTCCGTCTTCCCAGCCAACTTCAATTTATGGTCTCTTCATTATTGACACAGTTTGGTCTCATTCACAATTCCCAGCTAGGCTTCTGTAACTCGCAGCACAAGGGTCATCAGCAAGCCATCAGACCATCACGCTCCTGACACCATCTTTGCACCAGACTTGGTTGTCTTGGCTTCTGCAGCCTGGGAGAAATGGTGCATGAGGATCTGGGTTCAGAGTGCAAAATCTCAGTTTTCAAATAAGACCTCCTGCAGTGTTTAGGTTGATCCTCACACATATAAACCAGTTCTGCTTACGTATAGCTCTAGAGACTGCACACACAGATCATGTAATAAGGATCAACTTCATCTTTTTCTGCAAATTACATATTAAGATATTTCTGTAAAGTCAATAGGAAAAATATTTAAGGATTCTGAAAGGCCCTGAAGAGTAAAAGACTGAGAAAATATGTAAAAATCCTTGTGGCATTCATGTGTTTAGATGTTTCCTTCTATTTAGATACAAAGGAAAGGATGTGATTATCCTGCTTGAGCTGGCACTGCTGTGTTCACCATTTGAATACTGTGTGCAGTTTCTAGACTGTAGCACAAATGATTTTGGGAACCTGGTGAAAGTCTTGTTAAATTTCCATCAAACTACTGCGAGCTGGAGCAAATGAACTGCATAGAAAGGCTTGGTTTGCTCAGGCTGGAAATAGAAGAAAAAAGGGGACACTCTCACTGCAGGTATTAATGAAGATGGAGACTCTCTCAAAACAAGGGTATGTCTGACAGCATTGACGTAAAAACCAACCATGAAAAACCCAATCCCCAAAAAACCACCAATGTGGGAAAACATTGCAAAAGATTTCAATGGGTGGTGAACCTCCATCCTCAAAAGTTTCAAAAGCCTTCTGGACAAGGCCTTGAGTAACCAAACCTAATTTGAGATGTTAGGTCTTTCCCCTGCTTTGAGCAGGGGGTTGCATTATTTGAGCTCCAGGCGTGCCTTACAACTTAAATTCATTATTCTTCGAAGTCTGATGTCATCATAAGCTTTTCTCAGGAGTTCTTGCTGTGTTAAGTGATGGCATTAAATAATCAACTTCAGGATTGTAACACTGTGTACTTGACTACTGATCAAGAAAACGCTTACCTGTTTTAGGGTAACCAACTAGAATCACATCATCACTCCTGGCTTCAAAGGATTTCAGAGCTTCCAAAGTCTGTGGGCTGCTCATTGTAGCTGGGTATAAAATACCTCTGTAGGAAAACAGCATGTCTTCTGGGGACATCTTGTCACCCTCTGAAAAACATTTGTCCACTATTTCAATGATTCTTTCACTGTTTCGGGTCATGTCTGTATCCCTGTGTAAAACTACCCAAAGAGATACAGGCTCTCTTCCTACAATGCAGAAAAGCTTTATGCAACATATGAGTAAATTGGACAGGGTTTTAACTCAGGGATGAAGGTGCAAGTGACTGATTAACTCTGTACTCTGATAAACTCTTTTGACATTACAGAAGTCCATGGGGACTGACAAGAGTGACCTATGGTCTTTGCTGCAACTAACACCAGGCACAAGAACTATTGGGGAAACAATTAGTAGGAATAAAAATGTTAAATTAAATAAAAGAAACACCTGTAAAGGATATTTCCTGAAATTTTGATTTGGAAATGGACTAGGGAAAGGACCTGAGGTAGAAGATGGGTTAATGTATTTTTCTGGTTTGTTCCTTCTCCTTAAAGGAAACAGACAAAAAATACAATATAAGTATAATTTTCAGTAGAATTTTCTCTTTTTCGGTATCATAGGCAACAAAAAGACAAGACCAAAAAGAAAGATACTTTCCTTTTTCTTTTCACAGTGGCTAAGTAGAAGTAATTACCTAGAAGTAGTAAATTTTAAGAGCCACTGTTATTGTGTCAGTCAGTTATGTCTGACCTCCAAAACAGATTCCCAAGTTTTTCTGAATTGATTCTCACACTCACTGGCCTCATCTCTGCTTACTTTTCACTCCCTCAAAATGTCACTCATCCATCAAGTTTCCTTGTCTACATTCATTTTTTGACATGGCAGCTTGCTATTTCCATCTTGCCTTCTTCCACCTCCTTACCCCCCTGAATGCAAGGGCCCACTGAGTATCTCTAATGGAGCAAAAGCACATGAGGTTTTATGGCTGTTAATAGCTCTGACCTTCAGAGTGAGATTGTTAAGGGCACAAAGGGAAATGAATTCAAACCTTAGGATGACACAGGAGAGGATAAAAATGCAAAAACAGATCATGGTCTGCTTTTCTACCAGACCAGCAAGACCAAAATAATATCTGAGCCTTTTTTTTCTGGCACTGTCATCATGTTAGTCCTTGCTAAGTGATTCCTCTGGTGTTTTTAGGCCAATTGCTGCCTGATAGATTTACCTCCATCAAGTACCTATTACTTTGGCTTCCCTTTTCTAAACATAGAGTTTTACATTTACCTTTACTAAACTTTGGGTTCCCTCATCTTCTCCATGTGTAATGTTTCAAATTGCTTTGCCATTTTCCTAGTACTTTCAGCCTTCTATTCTGATCCCCAGACTTTACAAGTCAGTCATTTATGATGCACTCTATGATATTAGTCTGCCCACCAGTGTTAAAAACAAGACTGATTGTGATCAGAACTCACCACTAAAGGAGATTGCTTTAATTGCCCTCCCAGTTCTGCTATTAGCCAGTATATGCAGTGTGACCATAAGCAAACCATTGCAACCAAGTTCATCATATCCATGGGAACAAATGCATATTCCTGAAAGTCCTGCTGCTGCTGACAGTGTTTCTGAATGCCTTGTATTGCTGTTGTATGAATTTCTAAGAGCCTCAGTCAACTTCCAGTACTTTCATTTCCATAACCAATGTTTGTACATTGCCATCTCCACATCAGTTGGTGTCTCTTAAGTCACATAATTTCAGGCCTTCCCCAATGCTGTCATCTCTTGTATTTTCTGTCAGTGGCTTATTCAAGAAGTAAGTTACCTTAAGGAGGATCACAAATTTCTCTACCGTAATTTTTATTTACTCTTTCATTTTCTTCAAAATGTTCCATGGTCAATTGCTATGTCATTTTTGCTACTACATTCCTAAGTATCAAGGTAAGGAAACTGTTTTATTCTGATTCTTCCTTCACAAGTTTTAAAACACTGCTGATTTATATATTCTCCTCCAGGAATCTGGTACCTTTCTGCTTGCTTACAGATAACTTGCAGTTCTTCAAAGATGCCTTGCTGCAGGACTTTCTGCTGCTCTGCTTTTGAATCCATTCATTTCTTTTTAAAATATTCTAACTATCACTTCTGGCACTCCTATTTCTTTCCAAAACTCTGCATGTCCACTTATGTCCAAGCAGAATCAACCAGCTTTTGAAAAGTGAAACAAAAAGTCTTTGAATATTTCATTCTTTTTATTTCCAGAAAAAATTCTACAACTTGTAAAAGTTGTAAAGGCGGTATGATTTATTTCAGCACTGGACGTATGCTCCCCAAGAACATGTGCACCCCCGAAAATTCCTGAGTCTACTTTATTGCCTTACCTGCTGCATGTGCATATAAGACACATGCACAGGTATCAAACTGTCATATCAATTTTTATCAGCCTGCTCAGTTATTCAGTCACGTAAGCCCAATTCAATTTTTCCGTCTGATTTTTTTCCCTGGGGCCTCTTCTGATCTTTCTTCAGCTTGGATGCTTGCATTCCTTCCTAAGCAGCCTTGAATCTCCTTTGTTCTCTCTGCAGGCCTTTTTGTGGGCACCTAAGCTTACAGACTAAACAAGCAGACTTCAGCTAAATCCAAAATTGGTTTCTGTACCAAGTTAAATTTCAAATACCCTGTCTCACATTGCGACTGTATCTTTTATTTTTCCATCTTATCTGCTTAGGTGATTGATCTATAGATGGGGTGGGGGTTTTCCGGCTTTTAATTCAACTATATTTACAGAAACTTATTTTGCCTTTTTTGTTCCAGAATACGTCCCTGGACAAGTCTGAAATATGGTGTCTAGAGAGGCAAATCCCAATGGCAGTACAAGAGACCTGGGTAGAGCCATGTCTCACACCATCACCCTTGACAGCCCCCCGACCTCAGTGGAGACATTTTCAAGAAAGACACAGACTAATGAAGACTACACAGCTAAGAAGGCTTAGGGACAACCTCATCACAGTTTCTAGCACTTAAAAGGCAGCTACAAAGAGGATAAAGGCTCCTTATTCACCAAACACCACATGGAGAGGAAAAGAGGTCAACTTGCAACAATGGATGTTTAATCTTGATACATGAAGTTCTTTACAGCAAGAACAACCAGTTGCTGGAACAATGCCTACAGAAATGAGGTAGAATCCTCATCACTGGAGGTTTTCAAAACATGATATCTAGATAGAATCTCATCCAGGCTCCCTTTCCCATGAAAGGTTGTACCAGAAGACTTTTCAAGGTCTCTTCCAAACTGGGCTGCTCTGTAATTCTGTAGAAAGCAGCGCCTCTGAGGGAATCTTGCCCATTGACACCAGCCCATAATGTGAAATTCATCTTGGTATTTTGCATTCAGAGAGATGAAGAGCCCTAAGAACTCCGATCCATATTCCCCTTCTTTCTGCTTTCTCTGCCTTTGATTTACTTTGTGCTGAATTCATGGAAGATCTCCTTTGACATTAGGCTTCTGTCATATCCCTATTTTTGCCAGTGATATTTTCTATAAAGATATTGACTGATTTGAAAAAATTTTTTTAAGAAAAAAATAATCTGCATACTAAATAATTAGAAATTGTCTATAAAGATAGAATTTATCTAGAAAGAAAAGAAGCATTTCCTTCCAGGTTACAGCAGGAAAAGGGCTGTTGAATTTTTATAAATATGTTTAGTTGGCATCTTCTTCAGCAAGTGAGTGTAGCCTGAGGTCGCAGCATAAAACAAAAGGCTCATCAGCGTCGCAATAAAGGCTGCTGCAATGACTATTACAGTAATTCTAAGGTGCTTGGATCAGTTGATCTAAGTTTCCAGTGTATAGCATTCAGATTATCTGAGTCTGCCTTGCAAAGTTCTTGTTCTAACCACATTTCATTTCTCTTCAGGCTTTGCAGTACAAGTCATACTTCAACTTTTTCCCAAGTTTCGTTCCTGCTATATGTTCTTCAAATGCTTTGTCCATTTTCTTACTCTGATCTTCAGTGAAATGGTTCTTCCAGTCACTTACACCACCTTCAAAGAAGCAGGAACAAACTCTTGAAAACCAACACATTTCATTTTATATTCTACAGAGCTGTCATTTTTATTGCATTGTACATTAAATCACATTGATCTATTTTCCAGATGAAACATTTTTGTACATCAATAAAATTTTGTGAAATCAGTGGGCTTACATATATATGTGAATCATCTTTACTATAACACCAAATAACACACTGCTCTTTATGTAATTGTGTTCAAAAAGGCAGCCTAAAATTCTGTTTGCCTCCATCTCTCTCCTCTAGTCAGCAATGATTGGCAAAGTGGAAAGTCAAGAAGAATTAAGAATCATCTTCTAGGAGGCAGAGCTGACTATCTGCTCCTTTGGCAGCTTCAGTTTTTATCCAGTTACTTCTTTACATAAATTGCAGAAATAGATTCTGACAACTGGGTTGCCCTTCTCATGTCCATGTCCCCCACACTACATTGCAAAGGTTACTCCCTTCTTTTCCCTCTCTTGGTGTGCACCTGGATTCTTGCTAGCTTGGCTTACTTCTAGTGTGTAAGAGTGATCATGAATTTGGCAGTGGCCATCTCAGAAGATTCCCATACTCTCCTACAAAGTGTGGTCACTCCACTCAGGCTGAGTTTGGCCCAGTGCTGCCAGCTCCAAAGGCTGGGCACTTGGTGATCCAGGCACAGAGGTGGAGAGGAATTCAGACACATGACAGTTCCTCCTTCCTGCCAGCCATCTGTGAGCAGCCAAGAGTGGCTCTGCTGTGAGACCCTTGCTGTGCATCTTCCTCAGCAGTTCTCCTTGAATAGTCTTCTGAAGCAAACAGTGATAACCTGCTTGACATTAACTTACAATTCTAATGTAAGTGCAGAAAAAAGAACCAGACAATGGCCCAAGTCCTTGAGAGTGGCACATTTCTATCTATGACCCACTTGGAGCTTCCTACCTTTGCGAAAGAGAACATTGCCAAATGACCCATGAGTCTTGTCTGAGTTTTTCTTCATAGACTGGAAGCTGCTCCTCTCTACCACCAGCTGGAGCTGTTCCTCAGTCAGAGGAATTCCAAAGAACGTGGCTATGTTTTTCACAACCTGGGCACGATTCTGGAAAGAGGAAGGTATCATGTGGCATGACTTTCAAACAAATGACTCTGCTTTCCAAGGTGTTTACATATTCCTATATCTCTCTGCTGGCTGCATACATATCATATTCACAGAGTTCTCTAGGACTAGACTGGGCCATAGTGTTTCTCATCTCCATAGTTACTTAGGAGGAGATTACGAGCTGCCTTCCTGTAGATTACAAAATATTATATATGATTTACAGGTAGCAAAATCCACATTACTAAACAGAGAAAAGCTCCTCCCTGAAAAATATTACTGGAGATTTGGATTTATATTTATTTGGTCTCATATCACAGACAAATTAAATACAAGAATCATTTTCACAAGCAAAATTTTACAAAGGTTTTAAAGTTTCAATTTCACCTTTTTTTCCCTTAAAACAAGAATCTGTCTCACCCAGCTTGAATACCCTGCATGTATACAAGGATGAATAGGTTCAGGAAAAATATTTCCCTTGGTGTACAAATTATTTGTAACTATTGATAACCTTACCTCTTTTACCTCTTCATAAGTTATTGTCATAATATTTTCTTTGTCAGCATATTTGTTCCATTCAGAAAGGTATTCAAGGTAGCATCCCCAGGCCGCTAAAAAACAAAACAATTAAGATGAAGCCTAAATTAGGATTATACAACTTTTACTCATTAACTTGTGTCCGTCAGGGGCTATATTAATCATGCCTATAGCAGAGTTTACACCCTTCTGTGGCAATGATAATTTTGCTCCAGGTTCAGGCATACAATACCTTTTGTAAGTCAGAAAAAGAAAACTTGGTAGCATTTCACAACAACTCCGAAGTCACCAAAAAGCTATCATCTTGCAGACTATCTTGTAAGACTGCCTTAATCCAGTCTAAAACTTTGTTGAAACCCCCATTCTGCTGCCCATGTGCTACCCAAAACTCATGAACTTAAACCAGTGCTATCACTTTCTCCTTTTTTTAATGCATTGCAATTAGTCCCCTTTTTAATGCACTAGACTTTGGCCAAATAATTCCTTTCATCCAATCTGGCATGGAGGTGAGTATATAGCTCCAAGGACTCAACATGATGGACATAGGAGAGCAGGGATAAAGGAGACCCAAGACAGAGATAAGGAAGAACTGCCTCTTCCAGGAAAAATACAAGTTTGTACAAATTAAGGAAGTCTGTGGAAGTGCAGTGTGACCAATATTTATCCTCAAGCAGTAAGACAAGCATGTAGACTTCATATTTCTAATTCTCTGTCTTTAATCTCTGGTTTGTACTGTAAAGCAAAAATTCCTAGAGAAGCTGATTTATCAAAGAACAGAAGTTTTTACTCAAAGACAAATCATTGGATAATTGAAACTGACAAAAAAATATACTGTACTTTTCTTTGCCATGAAATCCGTGAAGAAATCATCCCAGGTCTCATAGGAGGGAACAGTAGCCACGCCATTGGAAAAATGGTAATAAGATGTAGCAACATCTTTTGGATTACGAATCAGTAACAATATCTAGAAAAAAATTAAAATATTATTTTTAGGTAAAGACATAGTAGACTCCAGCATTAAAAAAAATCATATACTTAAAAACTGTGGCTGGAGATTTCTAATACCTTGTGTTCTCCTTGCAGAAGTAGCAATTTCATTCACAATTCAGAAAGTGCAGTATTTATATTTGCTTTGGTACCATGAGATAGTTGCCTATAATTATTATCTTATACATATTAACCAAATTACTTATGCAGAATCTAAATATGTTTTAATCAATACAGGCATAGGTCATCTTTTAAGCAGCAGGGAAAATTCACAAAAATTTAAATGTTTCTTGAAATTTGACACATTGAAGCCCTCACTTGCAACAATGCCATAAAATTCCTCCCATAGGAAATCACATCAAAATCCATTTTACCTCCGGAGAATTCGTTCAAACCCTGAAAACCTCTTGTGGAAACTGTCACAAAGAAGCCAATAAGGGCAAACTGTGGTTAAGTGAGGTGAATGGCAGTACTTAAACAGTCATGTAGAAATGGCCAGGCAAACACCTAAGTAGAAGAGTGATTCTGAAAATTGGCAATAAAGTACTACATTGGCTCTTAAAAAAATCTGTTGAATTGTTTGATTAATACATTAGAATTAGCACTCACCTTGGCATTGTTTTGGAAGATAGATTTGGGAAGTTTTTCAGGGCGGAGATTAGTAACCATGAATCTTGGAGAAGGTAATTTGCTCATTCGCTTGAATTGGAAGGAAGAAAATGGACAGTTCAGTTAGTACAAGTATTCTTTCCATTAACCTATGCTAAAATGGCGCCTTGATGAACTTATCAACAGTTATTGGCCGATACAAGTGGTTTAGGGCTTTTTTGTGAGTGTTGTCCTGGGATATTAGTGGGCTGCTCTGAGTAGGTCTAATCTTCTAAAGCCATGACCAATTGGAAAAAGACTATCCATTGACACGGGCTGTCGCTCGGTGACCTCCGTCAAGCCCTCACCTCCTGGCCCGTGGCAAGGGTGGCTGCCCCCTCTCTGCCCTTTGGGCCGGTCTGGGGGGCAGTACAGCAGGGCTGCCCAACTCCCAGAGGCAGCAAAGCTGCTCTGTGCAGCTGCTGATGGGAATCCCGAGTCAAGGAAGCCAGAACAACAGATATGAGAGGGGCCACTTGTGTAAGATCTCAAGAGGGCTAAATCTCCAAGAGAGTCCAAAGACAAGCCACAAAGCTCGAACGGGCTAACGGCAACTTAAGAACAGGGGAGGGTATTAGGGGAGAATAACCAATAGCAGAACAGGAGGAATGTAGAGTGAGGATCAGATTCTAGGTAACCAATAGGGGATAACATGGGACGGGATCAGGCTTGGCACACCAATGGAACTTCTAGGGAAGGGTAATAGACAAGGAAGGTTCTAGAGAAAGGGGTGGGGTTATATTTGATGAACAAGGCAAGAGGGCAGTACTTCCAGGATTGGCAGAGAAGGGTCTGGAAATTAGGGAGGTGCAAGGGAGTTAGACATGTAGACTGACATAAGATTAGGCGGGAAAATAGTAGTAAACGACTTCAGGGCAAAACTATTGGGGAAACTGAATGGAGTACATGGAACAAAGCACTATGAACTCACAATAAAGAACACCTTAAGATTACAACAGAAAAACAATCTATTACAATGTATTGTTAGGCCAGTGATAATTCTCTTCAGTTCTGTTAGACAATGGATAAAGGTAAGGTACAGATTAGCTATCCGTGAAAGCATTAAACAGTGGAATAGTTCATATTTCCTATATTCAGTATTTGAAGCACATAATGTTGATCATTTCCATACATATCCTGTTCCCACCTCATATTTCTCAAGATCTCCAATTTCAAGGTAGGGGAATTCTTCTTGTTCTTCAGCATTCACACTGCTTTCACTACCAGGTGTTTTCTTTTGAGATATGGCTATCAGATCAGTTAAGATTTGACTTAGCCAGTTTGTGCCTGAAAGAAGAAAAATACAGAAGTGGTTGTAAAACTTTTAGAATGGACAGAAATGGATTTACCAGGAAACTCAAGAGGTGCTAGTACTACCAGGTGAGTTACCTGGTCTCCTTTCATGTCATACAATCACAGCTGACTGTCTGGTCAACCACCACCCAGGATCCTACCTTTGCTCCTCATAAGGAGATATTTCTCCAACTTGAACAGTTCAGTACACCGTCAATTAACATGTATACTGTAAACTGACTAATCAGGGAGAAGAACCACAGAGATTCAACTAGAAAAACCTGCCTTAATGTAATAAATTTTAATGTGACACATATAAGGGAGACTGGGGTGATGAACCTGTACTTTAAAGCTAATACATGAAGCGTTTTCTGGTGAGCTGGAATATCTTTGGAGGAAAGACGGGTCACAGTACTTCAAGAGACGAGCAGAACTAGGTCTGAAAATAGTGCACAAAATAAAAAAGCAAAAACTTCATAAACCTGTCAGCTGTGACTATCCACTGTAAAGCACTGTGAACTAATTGCTGTAAGAGAGAAACAGCAAGATTAAACTGTATATGAGACACATCTGATCCAAACCTTTGGCTTGCATGTGGACCAGTGCTTTCGGGAAAAAGGAGTCATATGTAGGTAAACTTCACCCCTAGCAAAGATGTCCTCTTGATTTCCCAATAATTAAACAACAATGCAATCACTTCAAGGACTGCAAAAATATTTTTGATAGCTATTTCCTGCCATTTATGTGAAATAAACTAAGGAATTTTCACCTTTTGAAGGTACCAAAAGCTCCATTGTAAAAATATAAAGCTCTTAGTTTTACAAAAATACATGTGGGAGTAGAAGGTGGAATATCAGGAGACCTAGTTACCTCTGGTGTAAAAAACTGTATTTTGATTCTCTCCAATTTGTGCATTTAACTTCATGACTATGAAAAGTAAAGATAATGAAAACCTTTAGATGCTATAGAAAAGAAAATCATAATGTTTTCATAGTATTTTAAAAAAAATTCCCATATCAACTATTCATAATTCATTTCTTCTGCTTTTTGAAAATGAAATCAGTTTTACAAAAATTGGTTAACATTCTAAATACAATTATTTAGCATCATATCATATTATGTATCATATCATATATATTTCAGATATTTAGCACAAATCTCGTTACTTACGATTACAGAAACTTGTTTATGAAAAAATTAAAATATATTCACCAGATTTAGGATATCCTGCCAAAATTACATCATCTCTTCTGGCTTCAAAAGACTCCAAGGCTTTGAACACTTCAGGACTGTAAAGAGTTCTAGGGTAGAGAATTCCCTTGTAAGAAAAGAGCAATTGATCACGATGCAATGAGTTGGAAGCTGCTAATGCGTTATCTACCAAACCAATAAATGTTTTCCTGGTCGCCATTCTTGTTCTCTCTCTCACGCAGCCTCTGTCACAGTGTGAAATGCTGTATAAAAGGAGAAAACCCACAGACTGTCCTTTAATAGGTGCTTGGTTTGCTATTTAGGTTTTTTTTCCTTGAGCCTATGAACAATAATTTACCTTTTTCTGAACCTGTGGAGAGATATACAGCCCCAGTCAAAGACCTTACGTAATATGAACCTTTGAAATCAATAGAAGTTGAACATAAATGAACAAGATAAGTGGACAAATGCAATTGCATTCCAGGAAAATTATCATGCCAAAAAGTTGGATAACAACGCAGAGTTTATAAACAGAATAGAACAATATAGAACAACATGATTTGCAGATTGGAATTTAAATGCAATGATCAATATCCTCGAGGCAGTTCATCACTTTCCAGTACTTGCTACAGGTATTTTCTTTTTTTTTCTTTACTATATCACCCATCATTATCACCAGAGTTAGATAAAATGTGTTGGGACTGGGAGAGAAGATGTTCAGTGCACTAGAGACTGAGCTGAGGACACTCCTGTGAGTGTGGCCGGCTGCTCCCTGCTGCTGGAGCCCAGGAGGGCACAGGGGCACAGGCACTCTTGGGCCACTCATCAGACTGCACTACAGAGGTCTGTTTTTCTAGTGTCTACACAAAAATTACTCATTTCTACATTTCTTTAATGAGCTCAATCATTGTTTGACAACTGATCAGTGCTTAGGCAGGTGGTGACAATATAACCTCAGCTACAGTGAGTAATGTTTATCATGCACTTCACATGATGAGCTGCTGACTGCAGTGACCCCAGAAAAGGAACTGGCTTTAGACTCAGGTTCAATATTTAAGTCTCTGGCAAAAGGATGGATATGTCACAAAAAATGAGAAAATAGTTCCCCCCCAAAATTCATGCCAAGAATTTACATGGCATCCTTTCTTATCTCCATCTCTTGACTGCTGCCTGTTGGGCACTGGAAGGAATCAGACCAGTAACTACATACCTGCATGCTTTTGCCATTTGCTCTCCCCAAGGGATTCAAGAGAGATCCAGGGCTCTCCCTGGTCCCTGAGCCATAGTGCAGTACTCATGGGATGATCTAGCCCTACATTTTTACATCTACTTTTTCCAGTCCATACAAAATCCTTTGCTTTTCCCTTCATTTCCCTTCTTTCTGTAAAACATTGTCAGCATAGAAAGACTACCTATGTACAGGCATAATCTGAAACCAGTGGATATCACATGGCCTGGTCCATCTGATCAATGACGAGTGCCAAAGGGCACAAAGTTGGCATCACCTGCTCCATTTATTTCACTGATATCCGCTAAAAATTGCTGTCCTATGAAGTAGCACTTTTGCTGATTCGTGATGTGAAACCAGCCACCCTAGCAAAACACAAAACAGCTTACTTAATTTTTCTTCCCTATCTTCCCTTGAAAATAAATTGTCATGGACTAAAGATAAAAAATGTGTTTATTTAGTATTTTTACCTGCTGGCAAAAGAATTATTTGGTACAGTCATCCCTAAGGTTGGAAAAAGAGGGAAAATGACCTGTAAATTATTAATGTCGTGGGATGTAATAGCTTACCATTGGAGTAGGGTTTTCAAAATGAAAAACATATTCCAGAGCAATTTCCCGAGTATTTCCAGTGTATTTTTGCAAGAAAGGGCAGTCGGGCCAATTATTTCCAGGAAGCATATTTTATCCTTATGAAGTAGAGGAAAAACGCCAAACCCCGTATTTGTGGAGAAAGATATAATTAGAAGACATAAATCATGAGGAGGGATTTTGAGGGCAGTTATATTTCTTGACAAAAAAAGTCAGGATCCAGATTTCATAGTGTGAGCCTTTGATACAGACATCTGCCATGGCACCTGAGCTGAGAGACAGGAGGAGAAGTGCCTAACCCCACCTATGGGATATAAGACCCAGCAGTGATCCTGCTAAATAGTGAACCCAGAGACTGACAAGAAAGCATCACTTGATTCAAAATTTCTATAAAGCAGCTTTAAAACATACAGAGATTAAAAGCAAATGAAAAACAGATAAAAGGATTTTATTATCTCCAGATTAATGGTATTTGTAGTTCAAGCCACCACCGTTGCTCTGAAGGTTTCTGACTTCCCACACTGACCAGACCTGGTATTGGAGCTTTGCAGAAGGAGGCTGGAGACATTTCTGGGACAGCTACAGGACAGTGCCAGATGGCCCTTACATAGTGCACTGATCTGCCCATGCAGATTCATTCCCTGTTAAATGAAACAGCTTCAAAGTATGAAAGCTTTAAAACACGTGCCCTCATGTGCTAAATAAGAAGAGGTATACTTTTATAATTATTTCTATGATCTGTATTTTTCTCAGTAAAACTCTGGAGAAGGCTTCCATATATTAGTCTTCTACAATAACCAACTCTGTGTTTAGGTAGTTCCATTCGGATTGATGCCTTCAAGAAGGTACCTTACAATGCCCCTGATCATTCATCTGCGACAACAACAACAACAACAAAAAAGAAAAGCCTGCAAGGGTTGTGAGATGTCCTGGCCTTCTGTGATTGAGCCCATGAGAAGCTGGGCATAAAGTAGGATTTGCTCTAAAATGGAAATGTCATACTTGTCATTCTCCCCTTTTGCATAAGTTAGTGTGGATCTGATCAGAGGAGAATCAAAGCCTTCAAACTGAGCCCAGGGGGTGAGGATGGCTTAGGTTACGAGGCCACAGCTGTCTGCACACCCACAAAGGAGCACAGCAGAGCAGTGAAGGGGGAATCAAAACATTACCCTGCCCACAGACTCCCATGGCATCAGCTCATCCAAGGCCCGTCTCCACAAGCTCAGAGGAGCTCAGGCAGAGTGGAATGCAAGTTAAGGACTCTTAATAAAGGGACTGCACCCTGTCCAGGACCCTTCTATGGCTGTTCCAGGAGAGCTTCAGACCCAGTGTCCTGGTGGGAAGATGGTCCATCAGAATGATCAGTGCAGGAGAACTTCTGAAGACTGGCAGGGGCTGCTGTCTGGTGGTATAGGCACATAAAGAAATGCAGAGGAACAATCTCTCATGATTGCACGTGACCTATTATGTCAGGATTACATGACAGGTAGGAAGCAACTGCCAGGAAACAAATTATGTACCAGCCTGCATGATACTACTAATGTTGCCTTTACAATATAGGAAGTACTAAAACAGAGATGAAAAATAACTAATCCCCAGTACCAGATCAGGGTGGATTTTCTTGACTTCTCTAAAAGGCCCTTTGGGCCAGAGAACTAATGTGTTATACACATTTCTAGGATCATCCTTCATCTTTTCTTTTCCTCTAGAATACTAGAGTCTTTTTCATTCTGGTCATCTTCCCTGATCAGATCAAAACTTGACATAATATCTGATTATCGATTATCTAGACAAGCATACCTTGCTCTTTCTTCTACCCAGATTTTCCCTGCTTATGTCACATATCCCCCAATCCCCAAATTCTAGATGCTGAAATCTCTCTAGCTTCTTTTCAGCATTTATTCTCTCTTTCATTTCCTCTTCTGTATATTTGGCATCTGCCAACTCCTTCTACATTTGTTCATGCCAATTGGTTCCTGAAAGGATAAAGACACCAGTAGGACATCCATTACACTTCACTTTTTCATGTACAACTGGCTGATGGTATACTCTGAATTGGTTTCATATAAACCAAGTTTCAAGTTTGGTTCAATGCTATACTTTAATCTTTTAACAAGAGTGTGTGCTGGTTTTCACAGCAATGGAATTAATTTTCCCCATAGTGGCTGGTATGGAGCTATGTGTTGAATTTATGCTGAAAACAATGTTGGTAACACAGAGATGTTTTAGTCATTCCTGGCAGTAATTACACAGTGTCAGGGCCTCCTCTGATTCTCACACTGAGCTGCCAGAGAGTAGCTTGAAAGTGCACAAGAATATTAAAAGGGGACACAGATGGGACAGCTGACCCCAACTGATCCAAGGATTATTCTATCCCATATGGAGTCTTGCTCAGCAATAAAATGTGAGGGAAGAAGAAGGAAGGAGAGATGCTGAGAGCTAAGGCACTTGTCTTACCATGTCACTGTCATGGGTGATGGAGCCCTGGACACAGCTGAACATTTGACTGGTGGAAGGATAGAATGAATTCTTTGCTTTGCTTTGCTTGCACACATAGCTCTTGCTTCAGGTATTTAATTGTCTTTATTTCAGCCATGACTCCTCTCACTCTGTTTCCCTCCCCCATCCCATTGCAGGTGAAAGAGTGAGTGGCCCTGTGGGGCCACTGAGTTGAGCTGGGAGTTGCCAGCTGAGGGTAAATCACAGCCCTGGTGAATAATCAACCAGGGTGTGCCCAAGGTCAAAGGGGCAGAGCTGTTGAGCAGATACTGTGGAGTGCTACCCTGCTGGCTTCAGGGTCACATCTCATCCCTTGGCAGAAGCAGAAGCAGACCTCTATTGCTCTTTTCAACTCCTTTCAACTTCTCTACTTATTGGTTACCACACACTACTCCAGAAATGGATACACATCCCAGGATAAAGGTTCCTTACAGGCAATGCCTCTGCCCTGCATCCAGGCACTGTAAGGCAATGTCCAGACCTGAGGACAGGTATCACCCAAACCAAATTTCTCTGGATGAAATACTCACATCTGAGAATTTTATGCCATTAAATCTGAAAGGAGGGACACTTGCATGTGAAGTTTTAGTGCAATAGCGTGAATCGAATTCTACTTCTTGCCTTTCATTTGTCTCTCTTCGTGTCCATAATTTAGTCTTTGGGTGAAATTGTTCCTGCTGGGGCTGTAAGTTGTGTTCTGGGGGACACCTTTTTGGAAGGTGAGGAGTGCTGAGATAGTGAAATGGATATTTCCACTGGTCATCCCAACACAGACAGGAAATACAGGAAGGTGAATTACCCTGTGGAGGGGCCTTTCACTCTCTTTCATGCCCTTGAATACAGTATTGGTCACAGTAACTACCCATATATCAGATATTTTCTGTGAAGATGTTTACTGATTGGAAACATTGTTGAAGAAAAAATAATCTGCATACTAAATAATTAGAAAACATCTATGAAGACAGAATGTGTCTAGAAAGAAAAGAGGCATTTTCTTCCAGGTGATACCTTGAACAGGGCTGTTGAGTATTTGTAAATATCATTAGTTTATATCGTCTTCAGGAAATGGGTGTAGCCAAAGATGTCACCATTAAACAAAAGGCTTGTCACTGTAAAGGCTGCTGCAATGATTCTTACAGTAATTCTAAGATACTTGGATCATTTGATCTAAGTTTCCAGTGTATAGCATTCAGATTATCTGAGTCTGCCTTGCAAAGTTCTTGTTCTAACCACATTTCATTTCTCTTCAGGCTTTGCAGTACAAGTCATATTTCAACTTCTTCCCAAGTTTCGTTCCTGCTATATGTTCTTCAAATGCTTTGTCCATTTTCTCATTCTGATCTTCAGTGAAATGGTTCTTCCAGTCACTTACACCACCTTCAAAGAAGCAAAAAACAATCTCTTGAAAATGAAGATATTTCTTTTTTTTTTCTATACAGATGTCATTTTTATTGCATTGCACACAAAATCACATTAATCCATTTTTCAGATGAAACATTTATCTACATCAATATAGTTTCGTGCAATCAGTGGACTTACATATATATGTGAATCATCTTTCATCATGCAAAAGAACAAACTCCTCTTAAGGCGACGTTTCAAAAAGGCAGCCTAAAATTCTGTTTGCCTCCATCTCTCTCCTCTAGTCAGCAATGATTGGCAAAGTGGAAAGTCAAGAAGAATTAAGAATCATCTTCTAGGAGGCAGAGCTGACTATCTGCTCCTTTGGCAGCTTCAGTTTTTATCCAGTTACTTCTTTACATAAATTGCAGAAATAGATTCTGACAACCAGGTTGCCCTCCTCATGTCAACCTCCCCCATATTACATTGCAAAAGTAGTTCCCTTGTCTTCACTCTCTGGTGTCCACCTGGATTCTTGCTAGCTTGGCTTACTTCTAGTGTGTAAGAGTGATCATGAATTTGGCAGTGGCCATCTCAGAAGATTCCCATGCTCTCCTATAAAGTGTGGTCACTCCACTCAGGCTGAGTTTGGCCCAGTGCTGCCAGCTCCAAAGGCTGGGCACTTGGTGATCCAGGCACAGAGGTGGAGAGGAATTCAGACACATGACAGTTCCTCCTTCCTGCCAGCCATCTGTGAGCAGCCAAGGGTGGCTCTGCTGTGAGAATCTTGCTGTGCATCTTCCTCACCAATTGTCCTTTTTGTCAAGAAAAGCAGTGATCACCTTCTTGACACTACCTTACAATTCTAATGTAAGTGCAGAAAAAAGAACCAGACAATGGCCCAAATCCTTGAGAGTGGCACATTTCTACCTCTGAGCCCCTTGGAGCTTCCTACCTTTGCGAAAGATAATATTGCCAAATGACCCATGGGTCTTGTCTGAGTTTTTCTTCATGGACTGGAAGCTGCTCCTCTCTACCACCAGCTGGAGCTGTTCCTCAGTCAGAGGAATTCCAAAGAACGTGGCTATGTTTTTCACACTCAGGGCAGGATTCTGGAAAGAGGAAGGTAACATATGGCATGACTTTCAAACAAATGACTCTGCTTTCCAAGGTGTTTACACATTCCTATATCGCTCTGCTGGCTGCATACATAGGGTATCGATAGAATTTCTAGGACTACAGTGGCCAAGAGTGTTCCTCTTCTCCACAATTACTTTGGAGGAGATTACGAGCTCTCTTCCTTTCCGTTACAAAATATTATATGTGATTTAAAGGTGAGCAAAATCTACACTGCTGTAATAATTTAGGCTGCTTCCTAAAAATATTACTGGAAATATATATTTACAAATATTTGGTCTTATATCATAGATAAAAAAATAACAAGAAATATTTTCACAAGCAAAATTTTACAAAGGTTTTAAAGTTTGAATTTCACCTTTTCTTCCCTTAAAACAAAAATCTGTCTCACATACCTTGGATACCATGCATTCATATAAGGGTGTATTGGTTCAGGAAAAATCCCTTGAAGTATAAATTATTTGTAACTGTTGATAACCTTACCTCTTTTACCTCTTCATAAGTTATTGTCATAATATTTTCTTTGTCAGCATATTTGTTCCATTCAGAAAGGTATTCAAAATAGCATCCCCAAGCCACTAAATAAAACAAAGGATCGCAAGATGAAGCATAAATTAAGATCATACAGGTTTTGCTCATGAAGCTATGTCAGCCAAGGGCT